AAAATGTAATTATGCTTATAATAGGAAAAAAAACACTAAGGTGAGTTGTTGCCTAAATGATTATGTTAATTGCATTTTTTTGTGATATTGATTAATATTCTATATAATAGGTTCACTTCACCAAACCCTATATCTTATTGGGGCTAGATTCGTGACACTACTATTTTTACACAATTTTTAACATACGGTTTCGTGGGGCCAACTTCGTATTGTATTCCAACGGTCTGAACTGTCTATCTTTTAGAACATCATTCATAGATCACCCTTACCAAAATTAGTGAAGAAAATAAACAAATATGGTTATACAAAGAAACTTTGAACCATTAATCAAACGGTCATATGGTTTCAGATTTGGATAGTTTTTTTATAGACATGATCTTTGAGGGAATACCTAAAAGATAGGCGGTTTGCATCGTTGAAATACATTACGAAGTGGGCCACAAAAATTTGTCAAAAGTTGTGTAAAAAAAATAGTGCCACCGATCCATCCCCTATCTTTTTTAGCGTGAAATTTTTTATCTTTTTGGTTTATGAATCTAAATAAAGGAGTTCAAGTAAACCAATTTCAAAGTTACAATTTATCTCAAAATTATAAGCATATTTTCTTCTTTCAAATGCAGGATAAAAGTCATTTTGATGGGGTCGCTTTCATCTTTGCAATTGCACATGCAGTTGAACTTAGGGCTACTAGTAGTGACACACAAGTAATTATGCAACCTAACCACAATATCCTAATTTCTACAGTCGTAGTTGGTTGTTAGCTTTCAATTGAAGCTGGAATCAAGGGCCGGCGGATTATGGCATTACAAATATAAACAAGAATTATGAAACTCTAGCTCATAACAAATATTATGCCAAAAGAAAAAAGGATTTTGTTTCGAGTACAGTCAACCAAGATGTCCTTTTCATATCTAGTTTTTTTTTTTAATTTGGAGAATCTCATAGACTTAGAGAGAGAGAGAACAAAATCGTGGGGGTGCAACAAGTCATAGAAAATTGCACCTCAACCTCCTTCAATTGCTATACAAAATGGCAACCAAGTAAGTCTTTTGCTTCACAATTCACTCAACCTCTCATCACAAGTAACACTACTAGATCTTCTCCGTCTTGTGTGCGAAATGCCATTTCGCATTTCGAGTACATAGAGTGTAGCATTACATTGATCGAAAAGCGAAAATGGCGGTGATGTATGATTCGATACTAGCCCGAAGCTTTAGTAAGCACGAGCAGAAGAAATTGAGATATGGAGCATTCGTTTGCTGCTTGCTCATAGCACTGTGCTTCTGCACTCTGCTGAAACCTAATTTGAATCCTCTACCAGCTTGTATGTACATTCATGCATTTTTTATATATTTTCAGCATTATTTCTATGTTAACTTTATTTTTAGGTGACATATATTAGTTTGTAATTTAATTTTCTGGATCATGTCACAGTGAAGTTGGAGAGATCAGTTGGTGTCAAACAAAAGATATTGGCACTCTGGGAAACAAACAGCACTCAGCAAGTGATAAAAAATGTGCTAGAATTTCCGGAGATAAAAACCGAGGAGTTTGAAAATTTGAGTGATCAAGTGTTAGCAGATTCTGCTGATTTGCAGCAAAATGCAAGCATTCTCACTAGTCCCATTGAAAGCAGCATGTCGGTAGGTGAGGAGACTAAGAGTAAGCACCCTTCCTCCAATACAGCTGGTACAAACATAAAGAAACCATTAACTAACGCGAACATTTTTGCAGTTGTGGAAGTTGTAGAGGAGAATTTGGAGCCACTTTGCAAAACTGAGGAACCAAGAACCGAATACTGTGAGATCATTAACAGGGATGTTCGCGTAGATGCAAACTCTTCCTCAGTTTTTGTTGCTTCATCTTCTCAAATTTGGAACAGGTCCTGGACTATAAGACCTTATGCTCGAAAAGAGGACAAAACTGCGTTGGGCAGTACTCGAGCATGGTCAGTGAAACCAGTACAAACTGGTGCTCAGCTCAATATCCCTCAGTGTACTCGAGATCATAGCGTTCCAGCCATCTTGTTTTCTACTGGAGGATACGTAGGAAACCATTTCCATGAGTTCACTGATGTGGTGATTCCACTGTTTATTACTTCTCGAAAATATGATGGAGAAGTTCAATTTCTTGTTTCAGATATGAAACCATGGTGGATTGCAAAGTACCAAGCAATACTAAAAGGACTGTCCAAGTACGAGATTATCGACATTGACAAAGAAGATGCAGTACATTGCTTCCCAAGCGTAACCGTTGGCCTTAAACGACACGAAAAGGAGCTGAGCATTGATCCTTCAAAGCATTCATATTCCATGAAAGACTTCAGAGAGTTTCTAAGAAACCGTTACTCGTTGAAAAGAGCCAGTGCAATCAGAATCAGAGAAAATCGTCAGCGAAAAAGGCCCCGGCTTCTGATCATCCCAAGAAAGAGAACAAGGTCTTTCACGAACACAGGGGAAATTACGAAAATGGCTAGACGCTTGGGGTTCAAGGTAATCGTCGCAGAAGCTGACATGAACTTGTCTAAATTTGCAGAAGTAGTCAACTCTTGTGATGTGTTAGTGGGAGTTCATGGAGCTGGCCTCACAAACCTTGTCTTCCTTCCAGAAAATGCAATTTTGATTCAAATACTTCCAGTCGGACGGTTCCAATGGCTCGCAACCAACTACTTCGGCAAGCCTTCGGAGGGTATGAATCTCAAGTATTTAGAGTACGAAATAAGCAACGAGGAGAGCACGTTGACACAGCAGTACCCGCTTGATCACCCGGTTTTCACCGATCCTTCATCGATCGGAAAACAGGGTTGGCTAGCGTTCTATTCACTCTATCTGCAAAAACAAAACGTACATCTTAATGTCCAAAGATTTAGACCTACATTGTTAAAAGCTCTTGAGCTTCTGCATCAGTAGAGAGACGTCATTGTTTGATTTCTGGAGGAAACAAGGTCCTCTTGAATATTTATTTCGTTTTGTTTTCGTTTCGTGTACTTTTCGTAGCAAAGAATTCGATGTCATTGATTCATAATCCGCTCTTGTAATTATTTGTTCAGAAATATTGGAAATTAGGGAAAGATTTGCGAAGCTTTTGTAAGCGTCGGTGAACATTTGTTAGAGTTCCTTAGTCCTTATAATCTCTTTTTTCTTCATTTTATTTTGTTTTATTTCAAATTTATTATCTTTAGTCAGTCTTCTAATCTGAAGCAGGACATAGATAGCATAGTTATTATTTAAGGAAAACTAATGAAAATGGCTTGAAAACTTTTAGTTTTAACGAAAAAGACAAAATAAAGGGTAAAGTGAATAGTACTATATTTGACTTTTTAGTATAAAAATGTGGTTTTTCGTTAAAATGAACAGTACCACGGGTTTTTCATTAAAACTTCTTCAGTCAGTCTTCCAATCTGAAGCACGACATAGATAGCATGATTATTATTTAGGAAAACTAATGAAAATGGTTTGAAAACTTTGAGTTTTAACGAAAATGACAAAATAAAAGGTAAAATGAATAGTATTAGGTTTGACTTTTTAATGTAAAAATGTATTTTTTCGTTAAAGTGAATAGTACCGCGAGCTTTTTGTTAAAACTCCCTTATTATTTATCCTCCTTTTGCTTAAGCAACAAAAATTGTGAAATAACTCATTGTTTTAATCAGTTTTGTGGACTACTACAAACGTCATCATAAGACCCATTTTTGTATAAATTTTGTTGCATCATAATTTTAAAAAAAAAATTAGAGGACCGTTTCAATTGAACGCCGAACTAGTATTTTTATTGATTATATTTTGTTTTAAAGTTAAAAAAATGAAATAAAATCCTTTCTAACACAATAAAATGGGCAGCCAGCTTTCAATGTGTAATATTTTTCTTACCGTGGGAGCAAACTAATAGTTTTTTAATCGATTTTAAGAATTTTTTACAAAATCTGTTTTTATGGAACTTTCACCCCACCATATATATCACGGAACTCCATATTTTAGCCATGCTTGTGTTTTTTATTGGGTTTTTATTTATTTATTTATTTTTTTGTTTGTTTGTGTGTTTAAGCTTAAAAATTCAAGAAAACTAGTATTGTTAATCAACAAATGGTAAGAACTTAAAAATCACATTTTCCATTAAAACTCGAAGCAATAACTCATTGTTTTAATCAGTTTTGCAAATTTATACAGAGTAAAAGTGATCATTAAACCTATTTTTGTAGAACATTTGCCGCACCTCAAGCCTCTTAAAAATGGTGAAGGACATTTCAAAGACGTTTTGATCGACAGAACTCAGTTCTGGATATGTTCTTGGGCCGCTAGTATTTTCCATATGCAGAAAACTGAGAAGATTGCAAACCAGCCACAAGAAAAACAGATGCAAACTACACCGATTTTTTTTCTTTCTTTTTTTGAAAAGAGTACGATATTCATTAAGATAAGAAGACTTACGTATAAAAAGAGAGAATATGGTGCATAAATGGGTCTCGATAAAAACCTTACCGGGGCTACACTAATTGTATCACTCTTTTCGTTCACTTGAGATTTTAACTTGCCCAAGCCCAAGTCGAGTTTTTCATACAAGGGGGGATGGTGGGGATCCTGCAAGATTTTTCATTTAATTACTACGAGTATCTCGAGATTTTTTAAGTTGATTCGTTGTTTCCGGTTGAGATATGAGCGTTCAATGACTGCTACGTTAGGATGCCTTCCATATTTACTGTGTCTCGATTCGTTTCTGTTATATAAGGGATTTTAGATATGCTGTTATCTGAATTTACTTATCTCCCTTTTTAGTTTGGATTAGTTAGCTTTCATGAACATGCCTATAAAATCAGGTTTTCGACAGAACTGCTTGTATTTGAATTGACCATAACGTTGTAATTTAGCGTCCCTCTTCGTATTTGAGCTTCGATCTCCTCCTACATCAGATTATCTTTTTCATCAAAGTTTAAGGCATGCTTATGCAAATGGGATTTTAGCATTTTCAATAGAGTGTATAATTATATCAAAGTTGAGCGAAAAATGAAGCCCGATTCGATACTTGCCAGAAACGTTTTTCGCCTTCAGCAGAAGAGGTTCCGATATGGAGCATTTGCGACACTCTTACTTATAGCAGTATATTTTAGTGCAGTTCTCAAACCTAGTTTGAATCTATCAGCTTGTATGTAGATTATGTAGATTAGCCTACTCTTTCTACCTTGCGTTGCAAGAAAGTTGGAATGAGAACGCACTAACATGATATGTTTGGTGTGTAACTCTCGTTTACTCGCAGTGAAATTGCAGATGTCAGTGGGTCTTGGTTGGGACGTGCTGCAAGTCCAACAAACAAACAGCTCTCAGCAAGTAATCGAAAGTGAGCAGCTTAATCAGAAGATAAGAGCGGAGGAATTGAAAAATGCAAGTCTTCAAGGAGAGGATTCTGGTGTACAGAAAAGTGCAAGCAATCCCACTATTCTCATTGCTCGAAATGGTTCAGAATCAGAGACAAACAGTAAGAACATAACATGATTATTTTGTACTAACTGCCGAAGGGATTGAAGTTAATTAGGTTGATGATCCAAGAAAATTCACCTTAGACAATTTAAATTCATCTTGCAGTTTCAGAAGTGACGAAGAATTTGGAGCCAATTTGTGATGTTTTGCAGCCAAGAACTGATGTTTGTGAGATCAGCATGGATGTTCATGTTGATGGTAATTTGTCTTCGGTTTTCGTTGTTTCATCTCAAGCGGACATGCTGGCAGGGAATAGCTCCTGGACGATAAGGCCGTATGCTCGAAAAGAAGATAAACAGGCGCTGAATCATGTTCGAGAGTGGTCAGTGAAACGAGTGTCTGATGCTCAGCAGGAAATCCTTCAATGCACCAGAAATCATAGTGTTCCAGCCGTCTTATTTTCAACCGGAGGATATACAGGAAACCATTTCCATGAATTCACAGACATGGTCATTCCGCTGTATATTACTTCTCGAAAATATGATGGGGAAGTTCAGTTTCTGATTACGGATAAAAGAAGCAGGTGGATCGAAAAGTACCAATCAATACTAAAAGGGCTGTCCAAGTATGAGATTATTGACATTGACAAGGAAGATGCAGTGCATTGCTTCCCAAGCGTAACGGTTGGACTTAAAAGACATCCAAAGGATCTGAGCATTGATCCTTCGAAACATTCATATTCGATTACTGACTTCCGAGCATTCTTAAGAAAAACTTACTCACTAAAGAAGGCCAATGCAATCAGAATCAGAGGTGGTGGCCGGCATAAAATGCCCCGGCTTCTCATCATATCGAGAAGGAGCACAAGGTGTTTCATGAATCCGAGACAAATTACTAAGATGGCTAGAAGCTTGGGATACAAGGTAACTGTTATGGAGGCTGACAGGAACATGTCAAGAACTGCAGAAGTTGTGAACTCTTGTGATGTGTTAATGGGGGTTCACGGAGCTGCCCTCACAAACATTCTGTTCCTCCCTGAAAATGCAGTTCTTATCCAAATACTTCCGCTCGGAGGGTTCGAATGGCTTGCAACAAACTACTTCGGAGAGCCATCGAGGGATATGAAGATCAAGTATTTGGAATACAAGATCAGCAGAAGCGAGAGCACGCTGAAAATCGACCCGAATAAGAATCGAATACGAGGATGGCAAGCATTCAAGTCAACTTTTCTGAATGCACAAAATGTAACCCTTAACGTCAAAAGGATTAGAACCACTTTGAAAAAAGCCCTTGGACTTCTGCATCAGATTCAGTAAGCCCTTGTTTAGTTTCGAGAGGCAGCAGAGGCCTCTGCATACTATTACAATTATTTCCTTGCTTCTTTTCCGTACTCTATTTGTGAAAATCGATCATAGTATTCAATGCCGTTTAGTTAAAAAATCGCTTTTTTTTAATTTATTTTTTTATTGCTTCTGACAAAGCGATATTCTAAAGGAAGTTTTAACGAAAAGCCCACAGTACTGTTTATTTTAACGAAAAACCATATTTTTACACTAAAAACTCAAACCTAATACTATTCACTTTACCCTTTATTTTGCCATTTTCGTTAAAACTCAAAGTTTTCAAGCCATTTTCATTAATAAGCAGGAAGGGTGAAACTTGACGGGGGATCCGAACTTGAATGTCTCGGCCCACCGGCCTAACAATTGCCATTGCTAGTAAAGAGTTTATGGTGGTGATCAACCAAACACAACCTATCATGTTTCGCACAACATCTAGAATCCGAAATGTAAATTTCTATATCATTTATAACACCGCAAGGACAGTGTTCAACGAGTTCGATGGTATTACCAGCCACAGGGAGGCCAAACCTGACCAGCCAAGCTACAAGTTCTAGCGCAGGCACGAGGCAAACTCCGCCATGCTGTGTGTCTAAAATTAAAACAATAAGCTGTTGCTTTACCGATGCAACTCTAAGACTGCGCTCTACCGACATGAATATATACAGGATGCAGCTCCTTGACCCAGCAGTAGCCACGGGTCAGTGTGATCCATTAGCTGATGTAAAAAGAAGTGTAGAATAATCTGCTACTTCGACAGAACAAGGTACATTCTTCATACCCCATGAAGAGTGTGCCTCATCACCCGTTTCCAAAAATATGGGCGCATCTGCCGATAAAGAATGTTCTATATCACCCCCTTTCCAAATATGGATCTTCAAACGCCGTAACTGATCACAGATTCTACAGAATGTAGCTTCTATTCTGAAGGTAGATCAACGGCCTGGAAGATTGATGTTCAATATTTATTCATCCTAACCTTTCAAGTTGGACTAGCCTCGGGCAGCTCTTTGCCGCTGATTGTGCTTTTGATTGTATGCTTCCCTCCATTTATGACGAGCAACCCTTAACCCCACTTGGCACTATCAAATGAGGTCCTTTTCTGGCTTGTCTTTCTACTTTTCTTAAGAAGCATCGACATATGGTCAATATCTGTGGACGAAGAATGGTTTTCTCCCTTCAACCAGAGTACAGCTTCTGCAGCTGCATCTTTCTCTGCTTCTTTCTTACTATTGCAAGGCTTCCCTACAAAGTTCAACCCATTGAAGATCACTGTGGAACGGAACTGGTTGTTTTTCAATGGTTTTGTTTTGTAGGTGGGTATATCATGCCCGGCCCTGGTGAGCAATGTTTGCAGGTGATTTTTGTAATTATTGTTCTCCGCAACTTTCTTCGTGGTGCCTTTTAAGTTTGGTAACTTCTCTTGTGTTGCCTTCATTGAGGGCACTGGCACCTTGCGACCAAATACAAATCTACCCTCACATTGATCCTCTGAGACCAGTAATCTTAGAGCCGATAGGAGGTTTGTATGTGATTGCATATCCAATTTGGGATTCAGGAGCTGCTTGCAAAGAATGCATCCCCATGTTAGCATTTTAGCAACAAACTGAGTGATTGTTCGTGTGTACATGCGAGAAAGTGAGAGAGAGACAAGGGGAGAGACAGAGAGAGAGTAGGTCTAGATTCAAGTGATAAATTTAAGAGCCGTGACAAATACAAACCTTATTATGAATCAGTTCATCAAGCTCCTTCTTTAAGCAAAGATATGTATCTGCTAATGTGGGATTCATGAAAAACTCCAAGTATCCTCCCAACATCTTCAAGTGCCCATTCTACCAAAAGCAAGCAGGAGTATTTACTACTTTTTCGTCAAGAACACACAAAAAGTTACCAATCATATTCATATCCAAGATCAATAAACTTACCAGGCCACCCATGGAAATGTTGCCCCCGAACAAAAGGAGCACAGAATCAGATATACCAGTTGAATCCCGGAGAAAAACCGAATTCACTTTCACCTTTTCGTTGAAGACTAGCCATGGATATGGAATTTTGGGTATGCTTCCGTTGACAGAACTCTAATAGATCGATCATAAACAATAGAACAGAAAATGGGTCATCATACGCAATTAGAACAGGAAACTTTAAGCAATACAACAAGGAAACATGAATTCAACCAAAATAAGAAACTAACCGAGTATAGCATCACTTGTCCATCTTCCTGTGTTTTAAGCATAATCGACTTCTCTTTGTTCTGTAGAACGTGTCACAACAAATACAATAGATGAGAAAAGACAAGCCATCCACAAGCAAAACAGATGCAAACAAAATCAGAGGCCAGTCATTCAGAAATTCAACTTAATCTGAAGAATCATGACCCCTTTATCACAGTTTTTTGTAAACTTAACATATCTATTGGAGTATCGAGTCGATTCAACTAAATGTGAAGATTACAACACCCTCTATCACTCTGTTTTACTCACTTGAGCATATCAATCTTTTATTTGCATATTGTACACAGTGTAAAAGAGGCTATTCCCACAAACATAACAGTTTCTTTTCATGTGATAAAAGAAAATTAGAACATGAAAAATATACAAACATTATAAGAAATGCATAAGAACTTACCACGACAGAGCATATTCCAGGAAATAATCCAGCACAGATGACCGCTCGGACAAGATGCTCATCATGGCTCCATGTATTGCAGCTTTCTGTATTATGGTCAGCCAGACCTGCATCCTTGAGCAAAAAGAAGAACTGCTTCCGAAGAGAGTCAATGGCTTTCAGAGTTTGTACAGAAAGAAAGTTTCTCCAGCAGTACTCATAGCCAGATTGTGTTCTTTCAGCACTTCTCCAACCATCATAAGCTCGGACAAGAGCAAGATGATCACTGTTATCATGAGCAGAGAACTGTGCTTTTGCGGACTCTGCAAGCTACACAAGTTGAAAATGACATGGTTACTACTACTGAACCTATGCTTGTCAGTTTCCCAGGAAAAAAAAAAAAAACAGGAAGAGAACTGTGCTTAGGGAAAAAGACTAAATAACTGATCGCTGTCAACTTCTTCGCATATCGAAAAGTATAAAAGTCGACTTACTCAACTACAAGTATTAAGTCGGGGAAAATATCAGTTTCTAATGACAAAGGAATATGATGGCGTGCAGGGGACGGGAGACACCATTATAATATGCAACAGAAAAGTGTAACAGAAACACTATATCATACTTACATCCTTCCTGTCATGCGGCATAAGGAATGGGTCTCTCATACTAAGGCCTGCGACAACAGTCATTACTGGATCCAAACAGTTGAAAATAGACCCCAATATGAGCATTTTTCCAAGTTTAGGCTCAACGGGAAGCACTGACAGGTGACGTCCTGCATAGCATAAAATCACCAGTTAATCTTTCTGACTTGCAAACAAATCAACACACAACTTAAAACAGCTTTGATAATCATTCATCACCTAACACTGTCAGATCCTCATAATCATCTAAAGCCCCAATGATCTTTAAATACTCAACAGCATTTTGAACCTACAAAACAAAACAAAACAAAATTGTGAGGACTGATACGAAGATATGCATAGATCACACTGTTAAGAATAATTATACCTTAGTTCACACATTTTTTTGCCAAATATCTTACTTCACATGTTAAATTTAGAGATCGTTGCATTACAAGACTATCACCTCCCATGCAAGTATTATAAAGAATAATCGGAGTACTCGCATAGAAATTTACCGACAGAGGTTCCGGCGGCTGCAAGGCCTTAGATAGGAACTCTGAAATACTTCCAAGTTGTAGACTTTTGATTTGTAAACATAATGATTGCAATGGAGTCCTCAAAAGTTCAGGCAACTGATAATCAGCAAAGGCATCATATACACATCTGGGGTAGAGATGGTAACACTCGCCAGGTTGAACACGACCAGCTCTGCCTCTTCTCTGCAGATTAAAGGCATCAAATTAATATTGTAAACGAATGTATTAAATCTCCGTGTAAGAGGGCAACTTGAGTAAAAATTTGAGTACCACAAAACAAAAATAATTGCACAGTTTAATTAAGAAGCATTACAGTCGGTACAAACTCATGCATTGCAACATATCAGAATATCCAACCATGAACTAGAGAAATAATCAAATTGATACAGAAACTGTCAGACTGTCTTACTTGCCGAGAAGCAGCCTTTGAAATCCAGGAAGGAAGCAAACAGGGAGTGTTATTTAGTGCATCATATGATGTCTCTTTCGCCTTTCCACAATCAACAACAAAAACTACATCATTGATAGTGATACTAGTCTCAGCCATGTTTGTAGCTAGAACTATTTTCCGAACACCATCTTCTGGCTTATCAAATATCAATTTCTGTTTACAAAAAACAACAAAAAATTAATTAATAAAATATAAAGCCAGTCCTTGAACTACAAGAAGAAGAATAACAACCCAAAAATAATAGAGTTCCATTTAAATTTTCTGAATGATAGCATCAAAAGATTCATTGAACAAATATGAAGCTGTAAGGAATTATTGGTTTACTCCTCAGTACAAGAATCCTCAGAGAATCGAGAAAGTCAAAACGCTCTTTCTCTAGTGTTTTTCCATCACCAGACCATAGTAATATCTGTATGCAACAAAAATTACATAAAAAAGAACAGTGACATCACCTGCTCAGAGCTAGGCATGGAACCATGACATGCCAGCAGTAGGACCCTGCTAGGATCTCCTAATAGGGGATGAGCTTGGAGTTGATCCTTCAAGGAGTTTATGTCATCCCAACCCGTCATAAAAACTAAAATTGCGCCAGGCCGTTCTTTCCTGACTATGTGTAAAAGAAGACTCTCAATGAGGTTAAAACCAATAGAGTCAGGATTCCAACAGGACAGAGACTCCTGAGTCCTTGGACTATACTCCCTAAAGTCGGCAGCTTCAAGTACATCCTGTTCAAAAGGGCCAAAAAGAATTAAATACAACCAAGGGATTGAGATGAAACTAAATAAGACACAAATTTTCTATACCTCTACGGCAGAAGCAATTTGGCTCTTCCTCTTTTTTAAACCTTGAGCTTGTTTCTGCATTTTCCACGACTTTTCATGACCATAATCATCAATCTGATTATATTGATTTAACCGATACCCAGTCATTTCTAGAATGTTCTCCAGAAAATGTGTTCGGACTGGGTAAGTAAACCCCTGTAAATAGAGCAATGCCCAACACCCAAATCAAATATGAGTTCAGTATACCTTATGCTGAGAAAATGACATCTCTACCAATGGATAAAGAAATAAGATAAAAACGTAATCGTGAACAAATGTAGCTGAATCAAAAGTGGATTTACAGAAGGAATCGGGAAATACTTTGTAATTGCAAGACAAATGGCCCCCGGAATCACCTAAGATCATGCTATATTGACATAAATGCACAATAAAGAGCATAGATTGCTAGATGACATTTTGGGTACATGGAACAGATAACTAAAAGAAACAAAAGTTAATTAAAAAGCCATAAAAAATAAGACCTAGTTCCCTGAACTTACGGGAATATGGATCGTTGGAGCACGACCAAAGTAGGAGGAGAAAAGCTCAGCATTTAGGGTGGCACTCATCAAAATCAACCTCAACTCTGGCCGGCGAGGGAGAAGTTCTTTCAGAACAATAAGTAGAAAATCTGAAATAAATGCAAGGCTATGCTTAACACCACATTAGAATACCAATCAGCAAATTTACTTTCCAAAATTGAAAATTACCTTCATTCATTCCCCGTTCATGAATCTCGTCAACAATGACGTGTGTAACACCTCTCAACTTTCTGTCAACAAGTAATCTCCTTAATAATATGCCTGTGGTGCAAAAAAGAAGCCGGGTGTCCCGCCCTTTCATCCATTCAAGCCTAACTTTGTAACCAACCTATTACCATAGGGAGAGATTTAAGTTCAAATCAGCTAGAAACAAAGATAAATGATTAACAACCAAGTGAAATAAAACAAGGGAGGAAATAAATTAAGCCTAACATTTTGAAGATAAATCTACGTCACCAAAAAAGTAACTTACAGATTCCCCCAGACTCTCCCCTCGTTCCGCAGCTACTCTTTCAGAAACAGCCATGGCAGATATCCGTCTAGGCTGGGTACAAATAATACTGCAGGAAGCTCCGCGATCAGCTTCAATCTCAGATTCTAAAATGTACTGAGGAAGTTGTGTAGTTTTACCACAACCTGTTTCGCCGGAGACAACTACGACCTGCTCAACATAAATTTGAAGAAAAAAAAACTTAACTATGCTGGCGAGCAAAAGCAATCGTCCGTAACCAATTATAGAAATAATAAATTATAACTCACCTGATTTTCTGATACAGCTTTTAACAGTGCATCTTTCTCCTTATATGCAGGCAGACTTTTACGAAGCTCAAGCATCTTTTGACCTTCTGGCGATTCCTGTATAGGACTTGACATGTCAATATGAATGTTTTTATAAGTCTACAAATCTACTATAAAGCTACATGAAGATGAACAAAAGCTGCATCACAAAGTCAAACTGTAAAAAGACACAGAAGAACAAAAATAGACACAATGCATTGTTTCCTACATCAATTAATAATAACTAACAAAAAGAAAAAAGGATCAACTTCCAGCCTGAATAAAGGTTACAAAAAGAAAGGAAAAATAACCTGCCAATGTCGTTGCCTATTATGCAGTTGCAAGCTTTTCCGCTGAAGAATTTTCTCCATGGCATCTGTATTCTGTATCAAGGGCTCCTGCTGCTCATAATGACCTCCATCATTAGTAATGCTTCTATTACTGTTTGATCTTGACAAGGAAAAGTCTGACAAATTTCCTTGGCTCATTGGCTTTTGAGATAGGTAGGCTTTGAGATGAGCATCTACTTCTCTATGAAGTCCAAAAGGTAAGACAACCTATACACGGTTCAAAAAGTTTAGAGCAATACATTGGATCAAAAACCTTGTAACTTCAAATAACATGTACACCAAGATTAATTAACTAATTCAGGCCCCACATCATACACTACAGAGCAATTGTTTCACAATTTTCAAAGGAAAGAAGGTCATCCATTTCTTTCCATGCATGATTTAAACTAAGTTGAGCATAAACATATAAGAAAGTACCTCTCTTTGTGGCCGCTTATCATCAAGATCAGGTCTGTAATTGGGCTGAGGAACTTTGCTAAATACTACAACTCTAGAATATTGACGGCTGCTTGAGAAAATCAAGGATCAGAACAACATACAAAAATGGGCACAGAATAACTGTACATTTGCGAAACTGACATACCTATACAAACCCATCCTGCTTGCCAGTGCTGAAAGATGATCAAAATCGCGTCTATCCTTTTTTTCCCTGGACACCAATTCTTGCTCGTCTTTGTTGCGAAGAAGCATGGTTAACTTCCATCTCCATTCATCAATGTTATCAAGGGTCGAACCACCCTAAGCATATATTAACAAGTAAAAGTCACAACCTTTACATTTAAGCAGAATGATAAGAAAATAACAGGTTTCAGCTCTGCTTAAAAAAAGTGCTACTTCATCGGTTGTTATTTCAAAGTCCGAAAAAGTTTGATGCTTCAAAACCATGTACTGATATCTAAGCTCTACGGTCTAGCCTACGTGCTTGTTTGGACAGCATCATGGGAATTCAAATCCACTTTCATTGGCAGCTACATTGCATTTCGACTTCAGAAATCGATAAACTATGAGTTAAAAATGAAATCTTCATTTCCTAGAGCAATTAAAAGCAACTCAACCAAGGTTCCCAATTCAAGTAATCAACATTTTTAACAAAACGGGCAGAGCAGAACTAACCTTTTGGCGCTGAGACGACCCCAATTCGGCATCGGACTCCTCACTCGCGGAGGCGTCCTGGTACGCAAACCGCCCATAGCTTAAATTCTGCTGGTAAAACGGCACCGCCGAACTCCTCAGCTGCTGCCTCTGCTTCCAATCCAGCTCCGCCGCCCGAGACGATGCCTGGCACGTGACGTCCCCCGCGTACCGGGGCAGATAATAGCACGCATTCCAATTCCGGGCCGGAGCAAGGCAGAGCGAGTGGTGGTACCGGCTGTTCATCATGGAGCATCGCAGTAGCAGCGACGGCCTTATCAAAGCTACGTGGTGGCGGTGGCGGTGGTGGTGGTGGGTTCCGCGTAGAGAGACGAGAACGGGGGTGGTGGAAGTGGTGGAGTGTTTGAGGGACATGGTGGTGGTTCGGAATATATAGCACTGGAAGAGGGCGGAGTACGGCATGGTTGAGGGTTGGGGTATGTGAGAGATGCGGTTATGGTGGTTGTGGGGTTTTGTCAGTTGGAGCAGCTAGGGAGGGGAGGGCGCCATTTTTGCAGGGATTAGGGTTTTTGACTGGTGACGATGTGGGCGGGGGTTTGTGTTGGTTGGAGAGAAGCGGCGCTCATGACTCTGGAGCTGGACTCTGTTTTTTCTTTTGTCTATTAAAAGAATAAATAACTAAATAAATAATATTACAGTCCAGCCCTCCAAAATAAAATAAAAATTAAATATTTTTTTTTCCTTCACATGTTTCCGATTTGAACTTCATGGTGCATTGTGCGATAATAAATTATTTGATTTTTTTATTTAAAATTAAATACATATAATGTTTGATGAAAACTAACCGTACGATATACGATATATAGTTAGGATGTATAAATCTTTAATATCCCCACAAAATAGATCCGAGGAAGATTCACTTCCGTTTCAGACTACTAATATAATCATTTATCAGTTTAGAATGCGAATCTAAATATGTTCTTCACGTCTAATATGGGTGGCATTAATATGAATGAACCAATCTAATCACACTTAAATGTTTCAATTCGATATGCGGATATGAGTTTTAGTAAAAACCTATTTAAATTGAAGCGGACAGACTACCTGTTTATTTATTTTTATTTTATTTTAGTATTATTAAGGGGAACAGGAGAACTTGAAATTATCATAATAATGTTGGATAGGGGAAGAATAAGTTTCGAACATGAGACGTATGAGTAAAAATTCGACATTTTATCCACTAAGATATGAGACCGTATGCAAAACTATTTTAGTTTACATGTTTATTGTTTTTACTGGCTAATAACTCAATAAAAATGTTAAATTTTAAAATGAAATTGTGAGTTATTGCAATTTGACTTATGTATATTAGTTAAATTTGATTAACATAACGAGGATTAAAACAAAATGCCTTACAAATACCAGCACAACTAATTATAAAATACAAAGTCTTCAAGAAAAATAATTTACATTAGCCTTCGTCACCTTCACAATAATGAAACCAAGTAACCACATCGAAGAATAATTTAATTTGATTCGTTTTCTCAATAATTTTTGTTAAAACCGAATCAAATCAAATTAATTTGAATGTAATTTCATAATGAAAAGCGATTAAATTCGAACCGTACCCATACCCAACCCAAATACTCCCTCCCAAGTTCCCAACAAGGAAATTTTTAATTATAACAGAAACATAAGTGGTATACAACGTGTTTTAATAGAAGTGGTTGGAGATTTCATTTGTTAAGTTATTAATTTTTTAACACACATATCCAACCATTTGTACAGTAACATGTAGTGTACCACCGTGTACCGGTCATATTGAAATATCTCTCCCCCAACATCCCCAACAAGGTCATTTTCGTCTAATTACTAGATCCCTCCTCTCTCTCCCTCTCTCTCTCTCTCATAACCTAAAACCCAACTCCCTCTACTTCTCACTCACTCTAGGGTTTCCATTCTCTCTCTACCATTTCAAAAATTGGAACTCAGAAAAACCCTTTTTCCTTCGCAAGTTAGCGACTTTTACCCCGATACCCTCCACCGCACTCTGAAATTTCAGTTAGGGTTAGGGTTCCGCCGATCCCAGCATCCATGGCTTCCCCGGCAGTCATCTCCCAACCGCGCTCCTCCAAGACCGAGTCTTATGTCGATAACAAGCGCAAGGAGGACGTCCGCCAGGCCAACATCACCGCCGCTCGCGCAGTCGCCGATGCCGTCCGAACCAGCCTGGGACCCAAGGGCATGGACAAGATGATCTCCACCGCCAACGGCGAGGTTATCATCACCAACGACGGCGCCACGATTCTTAACAAGATGGAGGTCCTCCAACCGGCCGCCAAGATGCTTGTCGAGCTTTCCAAGTCCCAGGACGCAGCCGCCGGTGACGGCACCACTACCGTCGTCGTCATTGCCGGCTCTCCTGAAACAGTGCCAGGTCCTTCTGTCCCACGGCATTCACCCGACTGTGATCTCCGACTCTCTCTATAAGGCCTCCACCAAAGCCGTCGACGTCTTGACCGCCATGGCCGTCCCCGTCGAGCTCACGGACCGTGATTCGCTTGTCAAGTCTGCAAGCACATCGCTCAACAGCAAGGTGGTGAGCCAGTACTCGACTCTGCTCGCGCCGATGGCCGTGGACGCTGTGCTCTCCGTGGTGGACCCCGCGAAGCCAGAGGTGGTGGACCTGAGGGATATCAGGATCGTGAAGAAGCTTGGAGGAACCGTGGACGATACTGAGACGGTGAAGGGACTTGTTTTCGATAAGAAGGCGAGCCACGCTGCTGGTGGGCCGACAAGGATGGAGAACGCCAAGATTGCTGTGATTCAGTTCCAGATTTCGCCTCCAAAAACCGATATCGAGCAGAGCATTGTCGTCTCGGATTATACTCAGATGGATAGGATTTTGAAGGAAGAGAGGAATTACATTCTGGGTATGATTAAGAAGATCAAGGCGACCGGTTGCAACGTTTTGCTGATTCAGAAGAGTATTCTGAGAGATGCAGTTACTGATTTGTCCTTGCATTACTTGGCGAAAGCGAAGATCTTGGTGATCAAGGATGTGGAGAGAGATGAGATTGAGTTCATCACCAAGACTCTGAATTGCTTGCCCATTGCGAATATCGAGCATTTCCGGGCAGAGAAATTGGGTTATGCTGATCTGGTTGAGGAGGTTTCACTTGGTGATGGGAAGATTGTGAAGATAACGGGGATTCAAAACATGGGTCGGACCACCACTGTGCTGGTTCGCGGGTCAAACCAGCTGGTGCTAGATGAGGCGGAGCGGAGCCTGCACGATGCTCTGTGTGTGGTGAGGTGTTTGGTGAGCAAAAGGTTTTTGATTGCAGGTGGCGGTGCGCCAGAGATTGAGCTGTCGAGGCAGTTGGGGGCGTGGGCTAAGGTGCTGCAGGGGATGGAGGGTTATTGTGTGAAGTCGTTTGCTGAGGCGCTCGAGGTTGTTCCCTATACGCTGGCTGAGAATGCCGGGTTGAACCCAATTTCAATTGTGACTGAGCTGAGGAACCGGCACGCACAGGGAGAGATCAACACCGGGATTAATGTGAGGAAGGGGCAGATTACCAACATCTTGGAGGAGAATGTGGTGCAGCCATTGCTCGTCAGCACAAGTGCCATCACTCTGGCTGCCGAGTGTGTGCGGATGATTTTGAAGATCGATGACATAGTTACAGTAAGATAGATTTGGATACATGATATTTTATCTGTTGCTCATTCGAGGCGGATTTCTGTTCCGAATTTTGGTACTGGTTCTGGATGTTTACTTTGGATTTGAACTTTGTTTTCGTGTTTGTTAGCGGATGTTATGTAACCTACCTTTGCCCGTTTACATTCATCGAATCTGTTTGTTGTGTTAAGGTTTTCGTGCCAATATCGAGTTCCTGCGCACAAATTAGACTCTAATTTATTGAATTTCATTGTGCATTGCTCTGTGATTTGCCTCCCGTGATTTTTTGTTCATTTCTTGCGTTTGATATAAGTTTTCGTGTTTGAGTTTGCTTGGACATAATTCAAAATGTCGAGTAGAGTTTGAGTTTCTCCGTTTTGGCGTCACGAGGGTGGAGTTTTGATTGAGGTGTGTGAGTCAGTTGATGGATTGTCTTGCATCACTTTCATTCCGCCTCATCCTCCTGCAACACAAAATTATAACCTCTCCATCTCCTTCTTCCTCCTTGTTTCCATCCGAGAGCATTTTTGCTCCCTTTCCGTCCCGTCCCATCCCGTCTGCATACCAAATGATACTTAAGGTACCGTTTGGTACGTGGGACGGGATGGAACGGAGCGGGACGAGATGTTCCGTCTTACGTTTGTTGCGCCTAAAACACGGGACGAATTTTGGATGAATTTTCGTTTCACCTCATTCCCCTGGACGACTCGTTCCATATCCGTGGGACACAAAATTATAATTTTTTCATCTCCTTCTCCCTCCTTGTTTCCATCCGATAGCATCTTTGCTCCATTTTCGTTCCGTCTCATCCTGTCCTTGTTTCCAGCCGAGAGCATCTTTGCTCCCTTTTCATTCCGTCTCATTCCGTTCTGTCTCGTCTGCATACCAAATGATACCTTACACCTCTGTCTATTGCCCGAGGGTGCGCGGGATCGGATAATCTGAACCGTTTTTTCTTACTGCATTTATAAGATGCCCTTCCCTCTCGCTTTTACCCTTGTTGTTAACTTTTTCGGGTTCTAAGCACAAGAATTCATTCCATCGCATTGGTTCAGTTCCTCTGCCGATTTCATATTCCAGTTCGCAAAAACAGTCTCTGCAACGACCGCTGTAACCGGGAACTAAATCAAACCGAAGAATGTAAATGATGCGAGCAAGAGTTTGCAGGATACCTGTGTCGAGGATTCTTTTTCGACACAGGAGCCTGCAAAATTGTAACCTCAAGAGCTGGAAACTCAAGAGCATGAACTGAAAAATGTTTCGTCCAAAGAAAAGTGTTCATCGACAAAATTCCAGAATACATTGTTAGCGCAGTACAAATTTTAATACATCTAGCAAGTAGGTCTGCACCAAATATCCGTAGCTGTATTTTCGAGTTCTTAACAATTCAATGGCTACTTCACGACTGAGCAACTAATCAACGGTGGACAACAATTTCGGTCACTTACAACCAAAGAAACTACTTGTGCCTGAACGCGATTATGATCGCGGTGCAGTTATCTTTACAGCGCCTCTCTCGCACAGCTTCTTTTACAAGACGACGGCTTATAGTTGCAACAGGTAGTCCCTCCTACGGAAACAATATGTAACGTGCCGTTATTTCAGAGAACGGAGATAAGTTAGTGATCTAAATGAACCGTATAAAACGATGGGCATCAAGTTTAGAGCATTGCTCTAACCTTCAACAGTTTCTGAACAAAATCAACAGCATCACTTGGTCCAATTACCTGAAACAAGTTTAGAGCATTGCATCGTTACAACGAAATAAAACATAGAGAATAAGATCCGCTAGAAATTGGAACCGGACAAAAAACTATACCCCCCAGAGGCCGTCGCAACCAAGAATTATGAAGTGCTCTCTTTCTGTAAGGTCAAAAGAATGAATGTCCGGGGTTGCAATAACGCCCACCTGCAAATTACAGAGTTCATAGATATATCATTTCAATCATCTTTTTGTAGACAGATGGAGGTAAACTTAAAGATTTTACTGCATATATACAAAAGAATAATGATATAATTTTTCTTTCCGGACAAGATTCGAATTTACAATAACTTGACAAATATACACTAACAACAACACAGGTTTTTACGTATTTAAAGAATACAGAGCTAAATACATATTGTTTTAGGCCAGAGTCAAAATGTAAATACAGGGCAGTGTGTTAAAAGAAGAGAAAGTAGAACCTTTTTGAACTGGCGATCTCCAAAGGCCCTAGAAACTTCAAGGCGCCCCTGTAGTCGTCCATTTGAACTCACATTGCCACCAGCCTGATGACGATCAAGCATGTTCCAAGCAGGAGGGAGTTCATAATGTTTCATGTAAATTCAGATAGAAGTATATATGAAAAACAAATGAAGAAAACTGACGAGACAACCCTTTTGGAAATAAAACATTTTTCTCTATCTCGTGTTAACCCTAGTTTGGATAGTACAAAAAAAACCTAAAAAAAGTTTAACTCAATTCAACAAATTTGTACTCCCAACTTTACGTATCCACAGCCCTTACCTTCTGAATACGAGCACGCTCCTGTGCATAGATGGCTTTGTGTTCCCTTGTCAAAACAATCGCCTTCAGGGGACATGCTTCATTAGAACCATTTTGCAATCCCTCAACAGGAGATGATCTTGCTACCACTGCTTTTGTATCCCCAATGTTAGCAACAAAAACCTAGAACCATCCAGTAGCATTACAAATCGAATTGATAGGGTGATCTACCAGAAATTTGCAACTGTATCCTTAAATGATCGCAAATTACAGAAACTAGACCAAAGAATGCAACAAAGTGATGCTTAATGCATCATACCACATATATACAAAAAGGCCTCCATTCTTCAAATTTAGAAACCGATTTCCATATTTAGTACTTACAGTTTTTCCTAATATCCAAACACATACAGCTGTAGCACCATCCTGCCACCCCCCTAACGGCAAATTAAAACCAACATGAAACCTCAGAAGATAACAGGAAAGCATTAGTTCATGAAATGGTTCTCTACGATCTATATGCGCAGAAAAATGATGGATAAACAGATAAAGCATATGAAATAACTATTTGAGATGCAATCGTTCTAGTGCTCAAACAATCAAGGCAAGAGAAAGTTAAAATCCAAAATAGAGAATGAAGAATAAATCCGTACCTGCAGCACTTTCTCGAACAAGAGACTCATCAGTTTTCCGAAAACCTAAATTACGGGAAACAATTCAAATAAATACGATGAACTCAAAAAATTCACAGCTGGATCGAAGCACTGTATAGGATAAGAAATAAAAAGACTCGAATGGAAATTTATACCGTCAAGTATGGCTTTCTTGGCTGCTTTTATATCCAACTGCAAAATAATAGATACAATCACACTTCAAGGGAAACAAAGTTCAGGCGACCACAATGTCGATGCAGTAAGTCAGGCATTAACATATATATTCTAATGTGCATGGCAAGAATAGTTACATCAGTCAATGATAACCAGCAATCACATTAGCACATGGATGAAATTAAACAGGAAAACCGACGAAGCTCCTAGAATTGTTTCATAATTGAATTCAACTACCAATGCATCGGAGAAACAATCCAACAAGTACAGTAACCATGGAAGGTGATCATGTCAATCTGCTATAAAGTATCAACTATCAAGTGCTTAAACATGTATACAAAAATCAGACCAAGCAAACACACCAACTCACGTGGTAATCCGGCCGAAAGCACATTCGTATTCAGATGCTTCTGAGCATACTCCGCAGCCAATCGACCTCCATGCCCATCATAAACTGCAAAATGTGCACATCTGACCCCCAATACAAAATCACAACCAAAAAAATCCAAACTTTAAGCAAACACAAAATCAATTACAATAAAAGAAACAAACAAACAAAGCATTGGAATTTAAAACCTCAAATTTCCGGGAAAATCCTCGCCGGCGGCGTCCAAGAGCACAACCCAAGCGTCCTCCATGGCGTGCCTCAGCCCCTTATCCTCCGCAGCATCGGCCTCGATTTCAAAACCCATTTCCCCTTTGCTCATATCAACTTCTGGGTCTTGATCTTCTTCCGTTTTCGACTTCTTGGCAGCTGAAATAGCATCGCTGGAATCGCTTTCCCGCTTGTTCTTTTGCTTTGCCGCGGCCTCCGCCTCCTCTCTTGCACTCTCGTTCGTCGGGACTGGATTGGCGGTTTCGGTTTCAGTCATCGTGTGGAATCAACGTATAAAACAAGTGGCCACTGTAACCAAGAACAAGGAAAAAGATTGTTTGGTTGCTGAGAAAATATTTGCGCTTGACCAAATTCACGATTCAAAAGTTGCGGCTTTAAGAGGAATCGACGATGCAAATTAGAGCTTCAAGCCATCGACCCATTTTAGTATTAAGTTTCACAGATTACACCCGCAATTTTCTACTTTTTGTGTATTTGACCGCTCTAAAACTAAAATATACAATCAAACACCTGATAGTTACAACAGTTACACCTATTAGGTACCCTTTGTTACGTGGGACGGGATAGAACAAAATGCTGGGACGAAGCATTTCATTCCACGTTTGGTTTGCCTAAAACGGGTGGAACGCGCGGTTCCACGGGACAAATTTTGGGTGAATTTTTGTTCCGCCTCATCCCTTGGAACTACTCGTTCCACATATGTGGAACACAAAATTATAACCTCTCTATCTCCTTCTTCTTCCTCCTTGTTTCCATCTAAGGGCATCTTTGCACCCTTTCCGTTCCGTCCTATTCTGTTTCGTCCCATCTCGTTCCATCTGCATACCAAACAATACCTTAATGAACAGACGTAACAATTTTGCGGAAAAGAAGTAAATGAGTGTTATTGTGTCAATGACTATTTTGGATTGATAACAACCCAACAGGATTCTTTGTGAGGAATCACGAATTCGTAAATTATGTCCGTTTATTGTATATCACGCAGATAATTTACATCAGGTAATGATTGTGTTTAATTTTAAATAAAATAATTTATGACCGTAAGATGTACGATGAACGAACACGATTCATAGATCTTTGAAATACTCACAAAGAGGATCCGAAAATGATCAGAATTCCATAACAATACGTTTAAATGTTTAAAGGGTTTTTATCACTAATGGTCCTTGACATTGATCAAACACATCATTTTGGTCCCTGACATTAAAAATCAATAGAAATGGTCCCTGACATTGATCAAACACATCACAAATGGTCATTCCGTTAAAAACTTTTTGGCCAATTTTCAAAGCTTCGTAACTCAATCGTTTCTTAACAAAATTCGACCCATGATATATCAAAATGAAGATAGGAAAGTGTAGAATAACATTATACCTATTTGGAAACCCAATGATTGCCGGAGATGGCCGGAAAATAGCCTCAAATGTGACTGGTCCGCAAAAAAAACTGGAAAACTCGCCTGAAATGGGGTAAACTTTAAACATTCATAACTTCTTCAATAATCAACGAAATCGAGTGATTCAAAAATGAAAATCATACTTCTCAACGAGACTAAGAGAATGGTAGCTTTCTTGATGGCTAACGCATCGTAGTTTGTCCGGAAAACGACTCGAAATTGGCTAACTCGAAAATGGTTATCCAAGTTTGAGCCATTTTCCGGTCAAACCACGATAAATTAGCAGTCAATAAAGGTACCATTCTCTTTGTCTCGTTGAGAAGTATGATTTTCATTTTTGAATCACTCAATTTCGTTGAGTATTGAAGAAGTTATGAATGTATAAAGTTTACCCCATTTCAAGCGAGTTTTCCAGTTTTTTCGCGGACCAGTCACATTTGAGGCTATTTTCCGGCCATCTCCGGCAATCATTGGGCTTCCAAATAGGTATAATCTTGTTATACATTTTCCTATCTTCATTTTGATATATCATGGGTCAAATTTGGTTAAGAAACGATTGACTTACGAAGCTTTGAAAAATGCCCAAAAAGTTTTTAACGGAATGACCATTTGTGATGTGTTTGATCAATGTCAGAGACCATTTCTATTGATTTTCAATGTCATGGACCAAAATGATGTGTTTGATCAATGTCAGAGACTATTTGTGATAAAAACCCATGTTTAAATGTGGTTTTAAGATGACTGAAAACGTTTTTAAAAAATAATTTTTAAAATCTATCCGTATAAAAGCTATTTGTCTCCACCTCAACCCCCCGGCGCGATTGTTCTAGGCTCTCTTCTTCTCGAAGATTCTCAGTCTCCGCTAACGACCGCGGTGGAATACCCACACCGACGATTCTGAAAAGCCGGACACTTTTGGTGCTTCCGCTCAATTTCTGGGTGTCAATCGGTGCTGTTTCTCCTTCTCCGCCTTCTAGAGTTAGGGCTCAGGGTTGGAAATTGGTGAATTTGTACATTTTGTATTACGATATCAAAATTCTAGGGTTAGGGTTTGTTCAATTTTTGAATTCTGTTTTTCTCTTCTTTGTAGCTTTTGGGGATTATACCCAATACCATGTGTAACTGAGAATTACTTGATTATTATTTTTTGATTTGTTTGTTTACGATTTAATTATTTTGGAAAGGAATAAAAAAGAAAAAAGAAGAGTAAAAGAGTGCAAAAATATCATCAATAAAAATTTGTTCTTGACTGCACCATCCCAATTCCCATGACCATCCCAATTCCCATGTTTTCTTATATATAAGTATATGTAAAAATAATTGAACTTTCATTCACATTGTAAATGGGGAGCCCTGCATTAAGCAACCGAAATAACGGGCAGCGGCTAGGCATTACAGAGCCCATTTCTCTGGGCGGGCCGACGGAGTATGATGTGATCAAAACTCGAGAACTCGAAAAGGTTGTGGTTTGATTGATGTTTTTTATGATTCATAACTGAATTTTGGGTGTTTAGTTGAGGTTTTGCTGAATTTCGGTTTTGCTTTTGTTTTTTTTTTTTGTGGGTTTCAGTATTTGCAAGATGCTGGATTGTATGAGAGTCAGGAAGAGGCTGTGGGTAGGGAGGAGGTTCTTGGCAGGCTAGACCAGGTTGAACTATTTTTTTTATGTTCCTGCTGTTGTTATTGCAATGTTCGTATTTGTGATTGAGCTGATCAGTTGCACATTGTCGGTTCGTGTTTAATTATTTCCTTTCTTGATTATATATATTTGATATTGTATTCTCTCTGATTATAATGTTTAATGCTGGTGTTGAAATCCAAGTCAGATTGTGAAGACGTGGGTTAAAACAATTAGCCGGGCAAAGGGCTTGAATGAGCAACTGGTGCATGAAGCAAATGCTAAGATTTTCACCTTTGGTTCATATCGGCTAGGGGTATGAAGCCCTTTCACTCTTTCCTTCCCACTCTATGGATGGTTTCTGTGTTTGCAATTGTCCGTTAATGCCTGACTGTAGGAAAGTTATATCTTAGACACCTTTAGCAGTGCTTGTAGATTGTAGATGCAAAGCATAAACTTCTCTTGTTGTTCGACATTGTCTTGATTTCAGTTGTGTTACTGTCGTAATTAAGTGACACTGGAACCCTATCCAGAAGCATAGACTTTCTCTTTATAGAAGAAACTGTTTTATCGTTCTCTCTCTCTCTCTAAAGTCTTTGTAACTCTTGATGTGTTCGTGGTCTCGAATTGTTAACCTACAGTTTCTATATTATAATAATTAGCAAGATACTTGAAACTTGAAAGAGTTGTTGTTCACCATTCTTGCTTCCTGTTCTCTATTTGTGCCTGATTTGTTACATCTTGATTGAATTATTATGGGTCAGAGTCATCTTGTCTCAGCCCTTTACTTGATAAATTTTGAGGCTTGTTGTAAATAATGCTATTTGGATGTGGAATCTGTGATGTTATTCTATGTTAGTTTTTATTTTTTCCTCATTCTGAGCTTCACATATTCCTTTCTTTTTCTCATTTTCCCCTTATTGTCAGGTTCATGGCCCTGGAGCAGATATAGACACACTCTGCGTTGGACCTAGACATGCAACTCGAGAAGTATGATCAGCCTTACCTTTTACCGTGCAATAAGTTCTACTTATTTTCGCAGCATCACTTAATCAACTTTCAGTTTCTTTTATGACTTTGGTGTAGGGAGATTTCTTTGGTGAGCTTCATAGGATGCTGTCTGAGATGTCTGAAGTGACAGAGTTACATCCTGTTCCTGATGCTCACGTCCCAGTTATGAAATTCAAGTTCAGTGGGGTTTCAATAGATCTTCTTTATGCACAGCTAGCACTTTGGGTTGTTCCTGAAGTAAGTGTTGCCTATATGCTTGAATGTTTATATTAAACAATCGAACACCTTGTCATCTTTTAACTTTGCATGCATTATTCCATATAAATTATGGTATCCTTTCTTTTCAACATTTTCCATTCGGAGCAGGACTTGGATATATCACAAGATTCAATACTACAGAATGCAGATGAACAGACAGTTCGTAGTCTCAATGGCTGTAGAGTTACAGACCAAATTCTGCGTTTAGTCCCTAACATTCAGGTTCTCACCACCAATGACTAGCTTATTTGCATATGGATTTTTGTTTGAATCTGTTTAGCATCTTTTTGCTTCTCATCATGTATCTGAACTTTGGATTGCAGAGTTTCCGCACTACATTGAGATGCATGAGGTTATGGGCAAAGCATCGTGGTGTTTATTCAAATGTATGGTGGGGTATTGCTGATGTGCTAGATTATTCTATAACTCACACAGTATTATTTTTTCTTATTATGTGTGTTTCTGTCATGAGCAGGTTACAGGTTTTCTTGGTGGTATAAACTGGGCAATTCTTGTTGCTCGCATATGCCAACTTTACCCGAATGCACTGCCTAATATGCTAGTTTCTCGGTTCTTCAGGGTATATACTCAGTGGCGTTGGCCAAATCCAGTCATGCTTTGTGCTATTGAAGATGGGTTTCTTGGACTTCAGGTTTGGGATCCTAGAAAATATATAAAGGACAAATATCATTTGATGCCTATAATTACTCCGGCTTATCCCAGCATGAACTCTAGCTACAATGTGTCTGCAAGTACTTTGCGTATCATGTTAGAGGAGTTTCAGAGGGGTAATGAAATTTGTGAGGTATGATTCTCCGTTCAAGTTTTGATATCTTCTTTCCCAACACAAAACATGTAGGTTCCTCATTGATTTGTATTTTGTAATCATTTGGCCAAGTGGAGTAGTGATATTCTTGTTCTTAGTAACTAGGCTATACAACGTCTAGTTTTCATTTTAAATGGTTGATTTTTCATTGGCATTATACCAGTTCTTCTGTTTGCGTTGAGCAAAGTTATTCCAATTTTGTATGTTGCTCAAGGGCTATGGGAGGTTCTGCTATTTGCAGTCGTCTGAGTTTGAATCTATATCTGGGTCCTTTGTAAGTCA